AAAAGAAGGTTGGACTTGTCAGAGACAAGGAAGAGGATCACGGAGATGAACAAGAGGGAGCAAAAGTGTGGAAAAATGATCAAAATATGCTACACAAATGCACTAATTCTCAAAAATGAACATAACTATGATGCATAGCAAACACCGACTAATAAAAATTTTTAAATAAATAAAAGTCAATTCTGTGGGGCCTCTTGCACACTCTGTGACTCTGGCCACACAATCCTCCCTGTGGCTCAGGATTCTGCCATCAGAAACACTGTCCCTAGATGTTACCCTTCAACACTGCACCATAACCACAAACCAACATAAACGGATTTATTTAGAACTCACACAGGCTACAGAATTGCTATTAGCAAAAGGAGAAACTGACTAAGACACACTAGGAAGAGAGAGAATGAGAGAGAGAGAGAGAGAGAGAGTCTGAGACAGAAACACAGAGAAATGTGAGGGCCTGTTAGACAAAGATAACCAGATCCCATCACATTCAGAAGGAACAAAATAAGGATAAGAACATTCTAGAAAAGTCCATTCAACCACAGTGTCTAAGCCAAAAGAATATATTAATAATAAGATTTTACTACTTGATAATAGACCCTAGAAGTACTTACCCCGTGACCCTGCAATTGCAGCCCGGGATGAGGCTCACGGGAGTGTGAAGGTCTTACAGTCACACCTCCTCTATTCAAAACAATCACACTCGTTGAAAGTTGGATAGAAGCAGACACTTGAAGGAATGAATATGTCACCCAAACTCTTTGGTAAAGAAAAACAATGTGTGAAGAAATTTCAGAAATGCTAGAAAGGAGGACGTGAAATATCAGAAGCTTCACGTGTCTACTGTGTTATGATTGTGTGGCATTAGATGACACTGTCATTCTAACATATCTACATTCAGGAGAGAGCAATAGTTTATGACAGATTTGAAAATGAAACTCTACATTGAAAGGTTTGCACAAAACCACAAAAGAGCATATGATTATCACATGTTTGCAAACTAAAATGACTACCTAATCTTCCTTGATGTTTAAAACCTGCCTTAAATGTGTGGGAATGTGTGATATATATGTCTCTATAAGTTAACAACTGTCAAGCTGAGATAATTCCGAATGACAATATTGTCAATCTCAATTAAAAATAATGATTCTAAAATTTGGAAGACTTTTTTAGCATGTATAACTGAGATCAAGTAAAGAGATGGTTCTTATTAAAGATAGTATTAAATATAATTTGAGCTACCACTGAAAACTTCCAACCCTTCCTATCAGCGGTCACAACAGTGGAGAGAAATGTTCACAGGATCGAGACATCGAGTATTTCTTTTTCTTTCTTTCTTTTTCTTTTTTGACATAACCTTGCTATGTAGTTCAGGCTTGAACTCACCATATAGTCTAGGACTGGCCTCAAACTCATGGTGATTGTCTACCTCAGCCTTCTGTGTGAGTTCCTAAAGGCATGCTCCACCATATCCAGGGCAGTATTTCTTTTCAACAAACACAGAGGAGAATTGCATCTTCTATGTTTCTGTACTAATGAAATCATTAGGTATTCTTATGGTTTGGTACTTAACTGTCTCCTAGAAGTTCATGTGTTGAAGACTTGATCCTCAGTGCAGCGATGTTTAGAACTGGGGCCTTTGGAATGTGATGGGATCATCAGAATTGTGCCCTCACAAAGGAATGAATTATTTATGGATTGACAGCTTAGTGAATTTGGGGAAGCACCCTTTGTCTTAAAGCAAGCTCTTTTTCTCTTTGATTCTTGGCTGGCATGAGCTGAGCAACTCGTTTCACACATGATCCCCTACTACGATGTTTCTGCCTCACCGTGGGCTTAAAATCAATGGAGTTGACTGTGGACTGAAACTTCTGAAACCATGAACCAGAGTAAATCTTTCTTCCTTTGATTTTCTCAGGTATTTTTTCACAGCAATGGAAAACTGACTGATAAAGGCAATAAAGTTGCTATCAAACTAGAGAAAGAACTTCCAAATGAAATCATGTCAGAGTCACACAAGCTAAAATAAGAGTGAATTGTATTCTGCTTTAAATTTGTGATTCCATAGCTGCATTTGAGGGCACCGGGTCTGACCACGGCAGGCCTATTGATAACTTGATAGTGAACACATTAGGATAAGACAAAGATTCAGTGTTAAAATCCACACCACATTGTTCAGAAAGATACTCAAATAAATTTTAATGACAATAGAACAATTCTTCCTATGAGCCTAATCCCCATAAAAAGCCATCCCACCATACTCTCACAAAACAAAGTTCCTTAAATATGTCATGTGAACACAGAAGCAGCATCTGTTACAAATGCAGCAGGTGACTGTTAAACATCATGCAGGTTCAGCTGCAGACTCTCCTTGTAACTTTGCTGTCTCTGACTCTTCCCAAGGATAAGACCCATTTCCCCCCATCTGCCAGTTTTCTCCTCTGCTGACCAAGGATTACCCTCAGTCTTTGTTGTTTTTTTTCAGATCACCTTAAAGCATGAAAAAGTCCATCATGGACTTCTCATCATATGACTCAGTTGTAAACCTCCACTTGTGCTATGGTCTAAATATATATTCCCCTACACACACATACACACACACACACACACACACACACACACACATACACACACTTCAAATTCACAGTTAATGGGCTCCAACTAACAGAGTTAGAAGGGGTAGCTTGAGGTAACTAAGTAACAATGTCTCTTCTCTCATGAATAGAATTAGTGCCAATGTAAAATAGGCAAGGATATCTGTGTGGCCCCTTCCACCACGTGAGAACACAGACCCGGGCAACATATACCAAATTTGTTAGTGCAGACTGGGTTTCTCAGTCTCTAGAATTACAAGTGACAAATTTCCATTGTTTTATGAGTAGTCTTTTGCTATTCAAGTTAAAATAATCTAGAAGGACACACAAAGATTTCCTGGAAAAGACCACTGCTTAACTTTTCTAGAAAAGACGTTTTGGCTACAAATCTAGATACATACATAATTTAAATATAGTTCAATCCCCTTATTCAAATCTTTGGGGCACACTAAGTAGTGCTTTATAAATTAACCACAATATAACTAGTGTTTGCAAGGAGGTGTCATATTTTAAATGACAAAAGTTCACTGACAATGTATTTGAAGATCTGTGTATAATCAACCGCATTCTTCAATCATCTCTTAGCTCAGTTCATTAAATAAACTAGGAGGCTACGAAGAGTCACAGAAACTACCTTACAGGGTGAGACTTATAAATATTAATATGTACCCTGCCATATTAGGGGGATCCGGCTTTGTTATGATTTAGATTAAAGTCCCACAAAAGCCCCCGTGTGCTGAAATTGATCTGAGCTGAGCAGCATTACATTCATCAGTGGATTCACACACTGTGACTTTAGTATCTGAATGTGCTATCAGGAGGTGGGGCCTGATTAGAGCTGGCTATCTGGGGATGTGTAACTTGGAAGGGTCAAATTTGTTCTGGGTCCCTCCCTTCTCTCTCCACTTCCTGGCTTCCCTATATTGGGTAACCTTTTATCTGTCAAGGCCCTTTACCACCCTGTTTCTGCCTTGGAACCAGCCAGCCCAGAATAAATTGATGAACTAACATAAACCTCTCCTTTAAATTGTGGATATCAGGTTTTTAGTCCCAGAAATAGGAAAGTGACTATAATAGGCTCTTTTCATGAACATAATACAGTAATAAGACAAAAACCCACTTTCTTATTATTTACTCCAAAAGTAAATCTAGTCAAAAAGAGAGTTTCTTAAATCCCATCCAGAGGGTTTATACCAGCAGTAAAGTTATAAAATCATACTATAAGCTAGCTTAATTATTGAAAATGTTTCACCACACAAATGTCTACAAAAAGAATCTACTGAGTTATAAATAGAGGTATAAATTACACATTTATAAATAAATATAATGCAGTTTTTATATATAGAAATAATATAATTACCATATAAGATATGCATACACGTATGTTGCAAAACTGCTAAATTATAGCAAAGAACAATGCTTAACTTTGATACAAAATGCAAAATTAGTAGTTATGCTACCTAGAAAATAAATGCCAGAGATCCTAAAACATAGTCCACTGTAGTTTTCTAATGTTTTGCTCCCATTCCAACATGTTTCATATTCTACAATATTAAAATAAAATTTTATTGACTTTATGACATTAATATTCTTCCAAAGATGTCTAATTTTAAAATAGATAAATACTTAAAAAATCAGAGAAATTTGGAAATATTTTGAATTCACTCCTAAAATCATAAAGTATATATGCATGACTACCTATATAGAATGCATTCAATGAATCATAATACCTATTCGATGGCCTGCTCTCATGACAGTGACATTTAAAATGTTTACTTGAAATGTATCACTTTAAACCTTCACATCTACCAGAAGAAAGAGACACAATCATGTCTTCCTGCCTTGGAAATGTGGGAAACAAGTTTCACAGAGGTTAAGTTATTTACCTGCAGTTATTCACCTCCCACATGGCAGAGCAAAACCTCTAAACCAAGTTGTTAGATTACAGAGTTCTTTCTGGGGATAAAAGCTTTCTAAAAACATAAGTTACAAGTCAGTATGTGAGTCTCTGAAAGGATTCTAAGAAGAATCTGGCCCAGTTAGCACTTTTAAGACCAGGGACATCTAAAACTAATAGAGGTAATAACTGTATTTATAAGTTAGAAAGACAAAATATATTTCAAGATAGAAGAATGAAGGAGACGCCACTCTATGTTCATTTGAAATGGTAACAGAGACTGTAGCGTGGCTACACTCCGGCAGCTTGGAGGGTTTCTGATACTCTGTGTACTGTGTAATCATTCTACTCGTGGGTCTCTAACAGCAAATCAATCTCACACCTTTAGAACTGCTGGGTCTTCCACAGAATTATAATAAGGATGTTAGAAATGGATTACAGGGAATGGTGATGAATATTTTTGCTTTAATATCTGTTAAGAACTTCAATTATAACCAAGTAAATGAACTTACTTCGAGAGAGATTCTCAAGGGCTTTCCCCAGCTTCTCGCTCTCTTGAAGGATGTGGTTCAATTCATCAAAATCACGGCTTTCTGGTTTAGTCCGCCAGCTCCATCTAGGATGTTCTACTGACCTTGGCACTATGTTTAAAAAAAATGGTTATTTCATAAGTATGCTACATGTGATTCAAACTCACTGTTCATCATTATGTGAAAGATTGCACAAGACCAGATGGTTCTTGTGAGTAAACAAAAGGAAAGATGTAAAGTCAGTTAAAATTTGTAACTGAAAAATAAAGGGAAGTGTGGCAGGATTTATGAAGAAAATGATATCTAAGTATTGACTTAAACCTAATAATTTAAGGGGGAAATGCAGGCAAAACATATTTGTACTATGTTATCATCTTAAAGGTAATTACTGACCTAATGAGCAGCTAAATAAATATTTTAAGACTTTTTTCCCTATATCTTAATAAAACAAAAAGATAAAATGCATGTAAATATCTTTACTTCCACGTAACTAAAATTACGTTATATTCAAGGGAATTTTTCCTTTCAAATAAGTAGTTGAACACCGAGAAAGAACATGGTTTGGCAAGAAATGAAAGGTGCAAAATGGGTAATTATTTAGTGATAGAAAAACTGAACCCAAAGTCCATGAAGAGAGGGATGGCAAGAGAATAAGCTTTCACACATGTAAACAGTAGAGAATCATTCAGGAGAAAATGCTATCGTCATCCAAGTGTGAGAACTCAATTGTTTTACAGATTTAAGGAGTCCATTAAGTGCCAAGCACCATTCAATTCATATTAGAAAAACTTTTAAATACTGACAAGAAAGAAAAGATTGTAAACACCCTGAGGTACAAAAATACCAAATCAAAATGATAGCAGACTTCTTAGCAGTAATGCTTGCCTGAAACAGCACAACAAACTCCTTCCAATTCTGACTGAAAATTACTTTTAATTCAGAATTCTACATCAGCTAATGAATCAATCAGGATGCTTAAAGGATTGAAGATTTATTCCACAAGTACTATTTCCCAGAAAGATGGCAGTGGAGATGCTCTAACAAACTATAAAATAAGCCCATAAAATTCAAGAAACAAGTGATCTCCCAAAAGGAAAAGAAAAGGGAAATTCTCAGGATCTTAGAGAAAGACTATAAGACAACAAAGAAAATGCCTAGGGACCAAGGGCTGTAGAAACCAAGAGCAGAGCAAGAAGACAGAGCTTCAGCAGAGCGATTTCCAAATCATTCCAATGATTTTGTTTTTAAATTAAAATAAAATAAGAACATAGGATTACAATTACTTGATATGTTTGATCATGGGCAGAGTTAGGTGAAGGATTAGTGATGAGTATATAGAAAACAAAGTAAAATTGAAAATTGTCAATTCTAGAAAATTCAATATTTGAACTCAGTAAGTCTAAATGGTAAAAAATGTTAACTATGCAGTCATAATTATATCAATGCAGAATCTATATTTAACCAAGATGAGATGACTTCTTCACTGTAGGGCAAGATGAGATGGAAGCTAGTATAGGAAGCATAAGGTACAGAGGACAAGAGATAATGTCTAAAATTGAAAACAAGAAAAGAACTGTGTTAGTACTTTGGATAATTAGATGTAAGGACTTAGCACAAAGATACATCTAAAACAGGTGAAAGTGATTCTAGTTTAAAGAGAAAAAAGATACTAGTATTCCATAGTATAACTTTATTTTTAAAATCATGTACTTTTATATTGATGAAAATAAAATATTTTTCAAAAATTATTCATATAGGAAGGATACAGGAAATAGTCTTACACTATTAAAATATATCTTTCTGCTATCTTTTCAAAAAGTAATTCAATTTCTCTTAGATCTAGTAGTTTTTCTGTCTGGTAAAGCATCATAAATGAAAACACCTGCACTTGTGTATTGCATATGTATAAAACTGTTGATTTTCACAGAAAGTGCAAGGTTTTTTTCATCAAATTGTGTATGATAGCAAAAGTCTAGAAATAATCTGAATGTCCTTCAAAAAAGAATACCTAAAAAAATTATGGCCCATATTATGCTACAATATGCAATATTAACACTATAAAAATTTAAGTTTATTGCCATGGGAATATTTCCATAATGCAATTTAAAACAATAAAAATAAGTAGGTTAGAAAGTTTTTGAGTTTTGAGCCAAGTCACCCACACATATTACAAATGCTGTGTGTACAAAGTGAACAATACAAAGGGGTAAATCTATTTCTAGGAGAACCAAATTTGATAGGTTGGAACAGGGAAATAATTTCTCTATATTATTATATATATTATATATTATATTTTATGTGTATATTTTGTAACAGGTCAAAGTAAGAAAGCAATGCTTATATATTTAAATAAATCTAAAAATTAAAAACTTTTAAAAATATATAGGATACAGCTGGCTCATCTTGAGCCTCTCTGTTTAAACAGAGGTACGGGGCAACATTAGCATTCTGATGTCAGAGCTGTGATGAGTAGACAGTTACTAATTAATTTGGAAAATGCTCCCAGACATTTTCTATCCCTGACCATTCCCCAGGGGATCCCTAAGGACGAGGTTAGACCTAAGACAAAGGAGCTCAGATGAGGGAGCAAAAGACATAATATTTGTTCCAGATTCTTCAAGACATCATTTGTAGTTATAATCTTCCTTGAATAATTTTTAATCTGAAATCCATATCTCTCTCTAACTTCCTAGAAAATACTATGATTGTCAAGATCTCTCCTTTAAGAACACAGAATTTTTTTGTAAAAAAAAATCCCAGGCCACAGATAGCTATCAGACAGGCCCAGCCGCCTGCCACCCCAGCTAGGCCAATGCATGTCCACGTGTGGAGACCAGTGGGAGAACTGTCCCGTAAACAGCAATTAAACAATGACTAAAATTATCTGAAGTATGTTTTCTGAGAAAAACTGTACTGTAAGAAATAAATCACAACTCTCCTTGCACACATTTTGAAATTAAAAGATTCCTATGATAGTCATTGTTTAATGCTACAGTATATTCTCTTTTTGTGTATTCTATCTGAAACTGAGAATCATATATATTTTAACTTTATTGGTCACAGTTGTCTGTAAATGTTAACTCAAGATGGTCAATAATGCAATCATCTTCCATATTCTTGCTGACTTTTCTGGTTTACTATGTCTACATCTCCACTTAATTCTGTAAATCACGTAGCCAGGTAGCCATGTGGCAGCCTACAAAAAGCAGAGTCTTCAGAATGGGCAGGCTTTCACATTCCCCTCTCAGTGATAAATGATGGAATGTAAAATTGGTTATATAAATTAATAATCTGCTACAGTTATACATTTATCATTAACAGAAAAAAAAGATGGAGAGGGAGAGGGAGATGGGGGGGGGGGACAGGGAGACAGGAGAGATGGAGAGTCATGCCAGATAGGGAAACTGAGACTTGATTCATTTTAATTTTCATTTCTTTCTTTAGTCATTTTTTTTTCATCTAGCACTTTGCAATTAACTTAGGCACTGTGTTGGACACTACTAGGTTCCTGGCATTAATAAGACATGCAAATTTTAAACCTTTATTTGTTTCATTTTTGTTTTACTAGTACACGTTTACAGCACTCAATGATTACAATCATTGTGGGAAATTCAAACATGTATGTAATACATCTTAATGCTTTTCACATCCTTTCCCTCTTCTCCCTCTCCATCCTTGTATATTTTAAAAATTGTTGAGATCTAATTTTTATACTAAGCTTGCAAAGAAGAATGATTTGATTACAATCTTAATTTGCTAGGTTTATAATTATTTCACATACTCTTCACAGACTCTTGGTGTGGTTGCAACAATACTACTTATGAGTACTAGTATGTATGTAAATAATGACCTTCAGAGCTAATTTCAGTGCTTTCACAGATGACCCAGGTAGAGGGTTCAGTTAATACATGCTTTTCAAACATTTTCAAACAAAAATAAATGTTTTCAAGTTACTCCCTGCTCTGCTGAAATTAAAAACAAGCATCTCACTGTGACAAACATAAGGAACTAATGTATAGAAAAGGTTTCTCAAGCTTTTGTCTTCCAAGAGTAACTGGAATTTGCTGCAGGCTTGTGAACTACTTAATAAGATCCTACTCGTCTGGCAGCAGAGCCCTGGAGAAAACTAGTGGTTATTTCGGCAGTGAAAACAGAACAAGAACATAGAGAAAAAGGGTACCACAGGTAGTGAGGGTAGAGTAAACACAGGGATTTCAGCCGCAAACAATAATGAGCAGGACTTCGGGAAGATCCTAAGTAAAGGATTTTTAAGGGTTTTTTTTTTTTTAATTTTTAAAAATATTTATTAGTGTATGTTTGTAGCATATAATGGTTTTACTCATCATGGGGAGTTAGCATACACGTATTACATATCTTAGTATTTTTTACTTCCCTTCTTTCCCTCTTCCCATCCTCTATCTGTTTTTTATTATTATATTTGGAATAGAAATATTTAGTAAATATTCTGCTCTAAATAAATACTTTTGCTCTGAAAGACTTAATTTGCTTTTATGTAGTTTAGTACATGTGGCTCTGGTTCTGTTTTAAATGAGTACAATGCTGCAGCTGGGCATGAGAGGCAGCGAAACACTCCAAGTAGTTCACAGCCTTCAAAGGATGAAGCACTAAAAATGGTCTGGGGCGGTAACACGTGTTTGAGAGGATAAGTAAGATGTTACTGCTGAAATGGAAGTGGAATTCATTAGGGTTAACAGCCAGAAACATCAGATAAGAAGTTTGACTTCAATTATTGCCATGTCTTCATTTTCTGAACGCTACAGACTCAAAAGCTGAATCATATTTGAATAACAAATTTACTTACATGATTTTGAGTCCAGTGATGGAGGCGAAATATTAGACACAGCAAGGTCGCTTTTTGACTTTTTGGGCTTCTTTGCATTTAATTGCCAAGGTTTATCATAGCCTCTGAAATCTCTCCTGGTTCCTTTAGTTTCTGTGGAAACAAATGTATATAAAAACCCAACAATAAAGATGAAAGAATTCTGGTTATAAAATATAACATCTTCTAATACAGAGATCACTAAAAAGAGCCAGAGGGGAATAGGACTTAGGATACTGTGAACTTTTTAGATTTCTATTTCTGGCAATAAAGAAAATTATATCAGTTTATATCCAGCAGGATATTCTTATGTAGTTGGTAGCACAGACAAGAAACAGTACGTCATTTCATCAGTCTTGGGGAGACTTTTAGGGCTTGACTATTAATAGAATTTTCAACAGCAACCATGATTATCAACCTATATAAAATCTTGAAAAGAATCCAAATACAGTAGTTTCAAGCCATTTAATGAGAGAACAAAGAAGACTCCACCTACACTCATTTATTAACAAACCTGATACCAGATAAAACACTTCACATTTCAGTTTGAATAAACAAAATAATATTCTAAGAAAAATTTAATATAGAAAACAAAGATCCAATCTTGGCATGCTGTAGCATGCCTGTAATTTCCAGAACTCAGGATTACAATTTTCACCACAGTTTAGGCAATTTAGCAACTGTCTGAAAACAAAAGATGCAAAAGAAATTGTAGCTATACATGAGTACACACTCTCTGCATTCAGTCCTCAACAAGGAAGGAAGGAAGGAAGGAAGGAAGGAAGGAAGGAAGGAAGGAAGGAAGAAAGGGCCAAAGAGTAAAAGAACCAAAGCATGAAAGAAAGAAAGAGAGAGAGAGAGAGAGAGAGAGAAGAGAGCAACTCAAGATTCAGAAGAAATCATACTTTTAAAATCATTAAATGTCAAAACACAACTGCATTGTCTGCTCAATAAAAATAAAAAGGGAATGAACTCTGTGAAGCAAAAAGAAATTAGAGAGCTGATAAGCAGGCTGAAGTACAATTAAAAATGTAGCTGTGCACAGCTTTATTTTTAAAGAAAAGTAAGATAAAGAAGCACTAGCAGGAAACTGCAGTGCAATGCCATATTTAAATCTGTGCTCAAAGCTAGAAAGAGAAAACTAATACTGCTAGCATTGAATCAGTAATACAAAGAACACATTTTGTTCAATATACCTCCCTAGAAGGGAGTCAATAAAATAGGGAAGCCAAATGCAATGCCAAATGAAATGAGAGCGGAAATACAGTAGCGACAACTCAGTTTTCATACTGTCTATTTTATTGAGAGATCATAGTTGTCTTTGTAAAACTTTTGAATCTGAAAAATGAAAAAATTCAGAAGAATTCAAGAAAAATAATTCCTTTTTACTGTATTTTGTCATAATTTAGACAGAGAATGAGCCCCCAAAGGCTCATGAATTCAGACATTGGGGCGTTATATTTATCAGTGGATTAATCCACTGGTCAACCCACGGCTGACTGTGCTCTTACCAGGTGGGACCTGGTTAGAGGAGGTCTTTTAGGATGTGACTTGAAGGGCATCTGTCCCTCCCCAGTTCCTCCCTTCTCTCTCTGCTTCCTGCTGGCAGGATGTGAGCAGTTGTTCTCCACCAGCCCCTTCCACCATACCTTCCTGCCTTAGAGTCAGCTGATTGTAGACTGACACTACTAAAGACTGTGTCAAATCAAACCCCTCCTTCTTTAAATTACAAGTGTTGGAGATTGTCTTTGGTGACTAGGAATGGACTAAAGACAACTTCTAAAATGGAATAAAATAAGGCCACCCTTAGCTTTCTTCTTGACACCAAATGACATACTCGGGATAAAATGTCACCAATGTAGATGCACGTCAAGGAAGCAAAATGAGGTCTTTAGATATTTTCAAAAGCATTATACCCATTAATTTTCACTATTGAGACATTTTTCTAGCTCACTGGAAATGCACCAAAATAAAGAACTCAAATCTCTCTGTCAAGGTTTCAATGAACACTATTTACCATGACCCAATTGACACCTTCTTGGTTCTACTCAAATCTAAAAATCAATCTGTACCTTCCTTTATCTTGATTCCACATTCTCCATCCTTAAATACATCCTCTTTTCCTGGGCCATTATAGTCCTCCATTTCCAATCCTCATTCCATGTCTAAACACATATCTCATCTTTTCCTACAAAAATGTGCCCTCTTCTGCAACTGCCTGGAACAGTGTTTGTTCTGGGCAAATACTGCTGGAAGCAGGGCTGGGATTGCCTGAGCAGAAATGCTTCTGTAATGGTAGGCTTCAGCAGGCCACCGGAAGCACCTCCTCCCTCCTGGGAATGCTGACTGGGTAAGCTACTTACCACCCTTGCCATTGTTCTAGCTCCAACAATTCCCTGTCCCTCCTGCAGGGCCAGGGTCCTACCTGCCCTTTCAACACCTTGAATAACAATTAATTTATATTTCCAATTAAGTTAGACCCCAAGACTGACTAAAAGGTATCTTTTTTTAATTTTTCTCATGTCAATTAGTCACCCCTTCCGCCCCCCCCCGTAATTTTGTTTTAAAGAGAGTAAATTTTGAACCTGGTGTCACTCATAAGACATACAGAATAATCTCACATTTCCCTTACACAAGTCTACCACATATTCAACAAAGTTGACCACAGATTCTATTCTTTTACTCTCATGGTTCTTTTTTTTTTTTTTTTTTTCCTTTTTCCTTTTTATCAGTACCAGGGATCGAACTCACAACTGCCTACTTAGAAGGCAGGTGCTTATGCCGCTGAGCTAAATCCCCAGCCCTACTCTCATGGTTCTTATGATTATTTATTTGGTACCAAATGGGTACCAAATCTGAGACTACAGCCTTGACTCACAAGTTTTAGAGTCATATCCAGCTATATACTTGGGATTATTTGCTAAAATTCTCCACAAGAAACTCAAATCCACCAATCGGAATTAAATTTATACTATATTTTATTTATAAATTTAGTCTTGTGTTCCCACCTTGCCTTATTAAATGAGATTTATGCCATTACTCAAATTAGAAAACTGAGTGCAACAATTCCCTCCTCTTCTTCATCTTCTCTTAGAGACATTAAGTGTTTGTGTGAGTCAGAATTGTAACAGAACCTATAAAATAACAGTGATTCTTTCTGTTCTGTTTTTGAGACAGGTTCTCACTGTGTAGTCCAGGCTGGCCTTGAACTCATGGCTATCCTCTTGCCTCTGCCTCCCGAATGCTGGGACTACAGGTACATGCCATCATTCTTAGTTAACACAGTTAATTTTAACCTCCTTAACATAAGACAGGAACTTTGACCTGCTAATATTCAATAATATATGGCACGGTTGTTGACATGTCTATGTCATGACTGTATTATATGACTTCACATTAGCAGACTTGAATAAGACAAATTCCCTTGCTGATTTTAAATGAGCATGCTTCCCTGAGGTCAGCGAGATATGTGGTAATGAACTCTGGCTTGCTGAAAACAAAGTCTAGGTAAAGCAAGAGAGGAAAAACAGGGACCCTATTCATACAGCCACAGGGAAAGGACGCAGCTATCAACTTGGAAGGTTGATTCCCAAATGTCCACAGTGAAAGACTTTTCCTAAAGTTTCACTTATTACATTAATAATATTGGATTTGGATTAGATAGAAAACAATCAAAAACTTGGGGAATAACAAACATAAATTTGTAGACATCTACTGTTTTCTATACAGATGAGCTATAAGCAATAAATCCAAATTATGCACAAAAACAAAATTTCAGAATAACTAGTCTGAATTCATACAGAATGCAATCTTTTTATGAAAATCTGAAATTCATTAAAATGAAATACACTGAGTTTCATGTTTTGAAGCATAATGCGTTACAATATATTCAAATATATTCTTGGGTGAAATCAAAGATGAATACATGAAAATCCTATATAACCATCTAGATTTGTCATTTAAGTTTTAAAACTTTCAAAATTTTTACATTAACTGTATTCAAAATTAACTGCAAAATACATTTTCACTTACCTGAGGTTTCACTTTCTGCCCAGAGAGCTGCAGATCCAGACAAAGTTCTTTGCAGTTGGCCACGGTTTCCTTGTTTAGACTGAAGATGGTTGATGAGAAATGGGATTGGCTGATCAGGGGTCTCAGTTATTAACTTGGTCATTAATTCCTAGAGGCAGAAGAGAGCACACATTTACATTTAATAACAACAGCAATAACAACAAAAAACAGTAGCTTAGAATTTACTATTGTCAGTCACTACTCTAAATGTTTGTATGCAGCAACTAATTTAATACTCACGAGACTATCTCCAGGTAAATATGAGCTACTGTCCTTACTTTTAGAATACTGAATTATAAGAGTAGTAAACTACATTACATGGCTAAAAAAGGCAAAAAATCCCAAAATATATTTATTTATATTTATTATGCTACCTAGACAGGAACATATTAGAATTTATTAAAATTCTTTTTTCAAAAGTATGAATTCAAAATTTTAAATTTCTGATTACTTTGCAAGATGCTATTTCAAACTAAGCTGTAGCTTTAAAATCCATCATATACTTTATGCAGTAATGTCATTTTCCTTTCTTAACTGTATATAGAAACACCCCAAAGTGAAGAAAAAAATGAAATGAAAGAAGCAATAAGATATTGACTCACAGAAAGCAAAGGTATGTCTTAAATAGTTTGAAAGTAATGGAGAATTTTCTTTTTACAAAAAGCCCTGTTAAGCAAAATTTCTCATTCTCTTTCCGCTTTCTCCCTCTCACCCTTTTCTTGTCTTTCTTTCTGACTTTCCTTAAGCAATAGTGAAGTTTCTATCTGAAAAACAGGCTGTTCCACTTCTAGACAACTCTAATGATACCTTAAATTGGGTAGAGTCTGCCCAAGGGTAATGCCTACATTAGTTTGTCTCCCCATCTCCAGTTTATGGTCAGTTAGAATCCTCAGATTCTCTGAACACGAACAGCTGACAAGCCGCATGGATGGTCTTTTAGCCGTGGAATTGGTTTGTGAACTTGTATGCACCATGTTACACTCCAGTCAGTCACATTTTATATGGCTGGGCTCTGCCCAGAATTCTAGTCAGTCAGTTGTCAGAATCTATCTAGTCAGATTCTGTGAGCAGCAGTCATTCTAAAAATCAGATTGGGTGTCACAATGGAAGGAGTACTTGAAAATGCTCTCCCTTCTGGTTTATTTGTGGTGGGGTTTGTTCCTCTGCCTTGAATGTCATTCTGTCAGATTTTCAGATGGCAGGCTTGTCATCAGTCAGTCTCCAATTATAAGAAGTATAATTAAAAAAATATAGTGAACACTTAAATTTTAAAACTCTCTTTTAGTAAACGGTAGTGTCATTAATCCTCCTCAAAATACTTCCCTTGTGTCAACATGCTAATTCCATTGTTCTGGAATTTCTGTGGGTCCTCTTTAGTAAGTGTCTTTAGCCGTGCTCTTGTAGCTACCTTCGGGGCCTAAATCCATTCAGAGGGTTACTTTCCATAGTCATTTTGAATTTGGAGAAAGAGGCAGAAATTGCAGAGCACCAGAATTGGTGAATATGATGGGTGAGGAATGCAATTATGTACTTACAAGCCTGCCTTCCCTTGGGTGGGAGTCAGGGTAGCAGCATTTACTGTATTTTTTCTTATCACACTTCATAATTATATGAAAGAACACTTTCAGAACTGCTTCAGAAAGTGATAAGGATGACGGGATAAATGCTTCTGAAGTGAGGTTGAATATTTGTGAGATGCATTCGCAGCAGTATATTTTTTACTGTAACAAAACTTTCAAAATTTAAACATTTACCGTATATTTCAATAATACCTGGTAACTTTAAAGAGAGGTTTACCCTGGTAGTCTTCATAAGTCTCTCTCTCTTTTTTTGGTTTTTTTGTACCAGGGATTGAATCATGACCTCTCGCTTGCCAGACAGGTACTTGTGCCACTAAGCTAAATCCCCAAACCCATAAGCTTTATCATTTTATTATTTTATTTTCTTTATACCACTTAGCACTCTTTACAGTCATTTTGTTAAATATTTGCTCACCTGTTTGTTGCCTGCCCCTCTTGTAAATTATAAGAACAAGGGCCTGCCTGGTTTGAGCTCTAATCTGAACCTAGAGTATTGCCAAGCTCATAGCTGGTCTTGAGTAAATAGCTAATGACTGACTGAATGAATACTTGATTTCTTGACGAAAAGTACTTAAAATTATTGTATCAATAAGTAAAATTTAAAACAAATTTTTTCATCACAGTATTTTTTAATCTATACAAGAAAATGTCATAATTATTTAGAATATATTTATTTACACTTATAACCACTTAAAAACACTCACATTTATCTAAGTGGAGGCCAATGACTTTTATTCACGACAAGACTGACCCCAAGTTGATTTTAGAGACATAAATAAAATCATAGAGGATCTCAAAATCTTGCAGATTGAACATAAAGTTGGAACTCAAAAGCACAAAGGTTTCCCACCATTACTACACTGTAATACAAAATATTTATCAAGTAAATGTGGTGCCTTTTATGTTCTGCACAACAGGTAAGCAAACAACCAGTTGCCATAGATCTTAACTATTTCTTCTATGAAAACAACTCAGTTGAGTCTTGATAACTAAGGTGCCCTTCTGCTGTTGTAATAATAATCATGAAGAAATATAGAGTTCAATTACACCTCAATTATACATCAGTGGGACACAATTTAACATTTCAGATGTTGCATCTACAGGAGAGATGAATTAGATACTATTTGAAGTTACTCTACATTACAAAGGTCACTGAAAGATAGAAACTAAGTTAGAATAATTAACTAAACCACTCATCAGAGAAAGGCTGTGCTGTAAGATAAAAAAATAGGTCAGGTAAGGCTCCACAGTACTTTCTCTCTTGAGACCTCAATAGATCTCAGGTGCTTTCCTGTTTTTACATTGTTATCCTTTAAATTGGATACAAATTCCTATAATTTCATTATTCTAAAATAAACAATAAAACGTCCCTGTCTTCTCTTTAGAATCTGGATTAAATGCAAAGGTTTGAGTAATTTCTATTACATTTAAAAAGTATTATCAGTCTAGTAACTAGTTTTGGACTTCTGTATTCCATTAATAATCATATGAGACTAAAGATATGAAATACATTCAGTCATAAACAAAATGAAAATAGTTAATGTTTGCAATAAGTTGTGTTGAGTGTCTTAACTGGGCAAAAGATCAGTTTTAGACAATTCTATTTAGAAGAAAAATAATATTGTCTCTCATTTAATCCACACATCCATTGGCATTAGGACTCAAATTATTCTGAGGACTTGAGCTTGCAGAAATCTCTTTCTCAGGCATGCAGATTTAAATCCTTATATTTGCAAAGATGTTCCTGGCAATAAAAAGATTGATTTTATTTTCTGCCAGTAGGACTCAGAAATACAAAAATAGATCTGAAGGGCTGATAGATTTGAGGAGGTGAGAATAGAGTTGTGCTGCTAGAATGTCAAGTTGTAGCAACAGATTTTCCAGGCAGTTTCACAAGGATCATTCACCATAAGAAGAAAGTACTCCGGATCGTTAAGCCGGTCTCAAAAACAGAGGCTGAAATCTCAAGGAGCAATGTGCAGTGAGGAACAGGAGGCTCATCTACCATTCTTACCATTAGTGTAAGAGTCATAGCATGAAATTCTCTGGGAGACTTTGGTGTGGGTGTATATAACAATGGAAGTGCTAATAGGACTCTTGTTCTGGAAAATAATATTAATAACCTTTCCAGTCTAAGGATTGGGGGATTGATAAAATGCATGCATTAATTTTAATGTGATCTTGTTACACTCACAGGCTACATATACCTAGATATATCTGGCATTCAAGTTGCAAACAAAATGTACTAGCAATTGTAATCAACAGGAAATCAGATGCATAATTATCAACATCAGTATCATTGGTAACTATTATAGAATGCAATGAAAGACACAGGAAATAGCAGTGACTAGACATTCAGACTTTGAAACTCGATGGACATTGTTTTGAGTCATGTAACACCTATTTACTAGTAATGTGACCCTTAGCAAGGCATTCAGTAATTTTAACACGCAATAGTCCACTGGCAAAATGTGAACAATAATAGTACCTACATCATCTGGTTACCATGGAGAGTAAAAAAATAATGACTGCAAAATCCACAAAGTAATTAAATTATATGTAAGCCACCATGATAGACTGTCTATCACTTCCTTCTAAGACTGGGCATGAAATCCAGAATCTTTCCATGATCTCTTAGACATTCTCAATGAGAGGAATTTTTAAGAGTTTTGGAAAGCAGAGAGAAGGAGACAAAATTATTCTCCACAGTTGACTGTAGTCAGATGTAAGAGCAGATGTGAGAGTCAGTAGCTTCCCAGTGAGTCTGTAGAAAACTCCGTTGCAGACTAGGGTAGGAATAAGCGCGCTAGGAAAGACTCAGAGACTTGCAACAGCTTCTAGGACAGCATCTGAACCCTACCTCCTTCTGTGCATCAGATGAGCTCTTCAGGGTCACCTTCTCTGATCCTTGGTGTCAGTGCTCCCCCTTTCGCCACCCCAACCTTCAGCAGAACTTCCCTGGCTGCATGGTCCAACACTCGTACTCTCTCCATCATGTAAACTCACTTTTACTAAACTCTATTATTACACACATAAGAAGAGTGATTTCGTTTTTCCTAACTTCACAATTAATAACATATCCTCAGCAAAGTTTTCATTAATATTTTTATACATTTATGTTTATATAATGTTTTATATATTCATGCAATATATTTATGCTTATTACTACTATTATGACAACTTTATCACTGAATATGTATTTGTTGTATTTTATATGCACAAAATATTTTATAGGTTTGATTTTTTTCTGATTAAACCTCACACTTGCCAGGCAGGCGCTTATATCACTGAGCTAAATCCCTGGCTCCAAGTATAACCTTTAATTTCATGATTACACTCAATTTGAAATAGCTTCTGCAATTTTTTTTGATCTTTTTGAAACACGGTTTCACTATGTAGTTCATGTTGGCCATGAATTCACTTTGTAGTCCAGGATGGCTTCAAACTCATAGCTATCCTCCTGCCTCAGCTTCCTGCTACTTGGGATTCCAGGCTTGTGCCACCACATCTGGCCCTGCATTGTTATCTG